GGGGGGGGGTTGTGGGAGGAGTCACCGGGTTGCCAGGGTGTGACCTCATTAGACATAACCTCCTCTTCCCCCAGCAACGACTGCGCTCCCCCTCAATGACGTCCCCCACCCCCCTCCTCCTCTTCCCTCTCCTCTCTTACAGCTCGTAAACAAGACCACGACACAACAACACTTGCAGTGTGTGCACCGTGTGTCTCTCCAGTGCATTCATGACATGTACAGTTGCCAAAACAAAGCAGAGCAAAAACAAAGAGGGACGAGCATGAGCGCAAAGCCCACAGAAAAAGGGGGGAAAATTATTTTGCAATTTCCAACACACACACATTGAAATGCTGATGCAAGATTAAAATATGTTTGCATATAGACAAACAAAGCTTGCAATCCAGAACAGAGACATTGCTCCCAGTGGCCACAAAGATGAGCAGAAAGAAAGAAGGGACAGAGTTGAGCTTGAGTTTGTCGGGGGGGGGGACTACTGCGGTTGCTGTGTACTTCTCCCTGACTGTCTGGGGATGAGTATTGGTTTCAGTAGTGCTGCCGGTTGTTTATGCAGTGGGACTGCTGGGTATATGGTGCAGAAGCAGGGGTAGAGTTAATGTGAGCGGTGTGGGTAGGGTGGCGGGGCTGGGTTTGCGAGGGATGGATTAACACCGCCGACACAAAAGGATTAGGGAGCAGAGATCTGTTGTTTTCATCACCCTCCCCCCCCATGTCTCGCACTTTGCTCTGGGAAATATGACGATGGGGGTGGGAGGTCACACTCGGGGGCTCCAAAATCAGTTTCCACAAACATGTGGTGGTTAGTTCATAGGAGAGATTGGGATAATGTTTTTTTTAAAATAAAGCAAGTGGAGGGGGAAGCCAAAAAGAGCAACAGCACTCTGGTGAGTTCAGCAGGCGAAGGACTTGACTGAATTTGACTATCAAAAGAGGAAATCAAATGAGGAAAGAAAAAGGTCAAATAGGGTGGAATCAAAACAGTATTTCCACCCAGGTCAAACACTCTTTTCATTACAACATGCCACATGCCACTGTGATGAAATGCTCTGTCAAAAGGTAGTCACCCCTATTTGTCTGCCTATTGTGAGGGACGTGGTCGATTGGTCATGCACAAAGCAAGTCACTCCATCCAGACCCAATTCAGCGCATGCACACACAGCAAACATGCACATGTACACAAAGACGCCGCTCTGACCTCAGTGCATAGCCCATGTGTGCAAGCTCAAAGGACATATTTATGTCCCATCAGAGTTCAATGGACACAGACAGTGAGGAAATCTCAGGGGTTAATTGGGTTAAACACATGTTTTCCACCTTTGTGTGCAGCGGCATTTTGTTTTGTGAACAGCAGAGTACACTCCCTCAGGGACAGGACGGAAGGTGAAATAAGATACAATGCCTGCAACTCTGGAGCTCACGCACATTTCTAGACTCACAAAGACCTGCATTCACAGAGAAAGGCATTTCAACTGTCTGAATACATTAGCCGAGGCACAGTTTAGTGTATCCAAATTACATTTTTGGCTGGTTTCTGAAAAGTTTTTTGCATATATTTATCATAGCTGCTTAAAAAAGATTGTGAGATGTTTCAACAATGGATATATTTCCACTTCAGGCTTAGAGCAACACATCTGATCAATTCTACGGCTCTGTTATCTCCCTAAATCATTTGCTAACAAGCCAATATAGTAGTAAGCCAATCAATCTTTTCAGTTACAGTTCATGTATGTAGTGGGACATTATGACATAATGACTGTTTACAAATACAAACCAATGTGTCCTGGAGCAGATGCCTAGTAGTGAGTTCAATCATGCATGTAATGATGTTGTATTGATCCACTGCTGAAACAGGCTAATGAAGAGTCTATAAAAACCATTATACCAATCAATTATATGCCAGTGAGCAAACAGAGTCATTATGATAAAGTACGATGGCCCTGAGAGCTCAACATACTCAAGTTAGGAAAACACGTGCAAGTTGACAACATAAGTATGGCGAATAGAAAATGTCCAAATACTAATAATGGCCAGAGTTGTTGGAAAATAAGACAATTATTTTAATATTATGAGTTCATGATTCAGATATTTTTTATAGTTAATCTATAGCGTTAGCCTTGTGCATATTGTTAGCCTGGCAATTCACGTAATCTGACGAAATGCTCTCAATTAGTTGATGAACAGGTTAATGTCAAGTTATCTATGTCTTTTTCAGATCAACAGCACCACAGTAAAGAAAATATATGTCGATCTGATTATCACTTCTGTCGGGTTGTAAGCATTTGTAGCACTTTTATCTATTTGTCAACTATGTTGTCACATTTGATGTTTTCTCCATTTTGCATGTGTTTTGTCTATTTGTACATGTTTTCTTGCATTTTAGTGCGTTCAACTCTCAGGGCCAATGTAGCAAGAACTCTACTTTACAATATTTTTCATGGTGTGATTTCCTGCAATCAGAAATTGGCACCTGCACATGGTGCCACTGTAAATGGTTTGGGGTTTGGAGGATAGCATGCAGACTCTTGTGAGACTCAGTGGTAGACTCTGTTTTCCCCCAGTGCCATGCAGGTCAGGATGAAGAAGGCACTGGCAGGACCGATACTGAGACAGTGGCACTAAAGATGTCAAACTCTCATTAAAGATGCAGCACGGCTTCCACCCCTCACATCACCAGAGAGAAATGGAGCGTGAGGTTCTTGCTCTGACCAACAATATGCATCTGACCACTCAAGGGTTTATGTATGCATGCATGTGCTTTACATTTATTCAACTGTTTCCTTCACTGTGCACAATTTAGGAATGCATTTTATTTATCTTATCCACTTGTTCCTTAGAATTCAGCAGCACAGCATGAGGTACCGTTGTATTTAATCAAGCTTGTGTCTCCTCGAGACTCATTTACAAATACGCCCCTCTCGAGATGTCAAGCTCAAGCACGTTTCTAATGACCACCCTCCACACTTCCTGCTGTTTCCACCAAGACAGAGAGGTGAAAATAGGAGACTGAATCACATGATCTCTCAAACAGGCAGTTGAGGGCTCCAATCTTGGGGGTTTTACCCCATATAAGCCCTTTAAATCCACAGTTTAAAGGGTCAGAACTGATGGGGTAAAGCCCTTGCAGACTGTCTGCGAACTACTGGACTCCAACACAGCGTAAAGACACAGACCATCAGACCCCCACCACGACAATGGTAGCTACATCATCCATTTGTAGTCCTAGTCAAAAGAGGCAACACAGTTATGTTCACAACCACCACTATATGATCAAAGTCAGATGGGAAGTATGATGATAACTACTGGTACATACCCATTGCTGTGTTCTGATATGATTGCTTTGATGCTAGAAGTGACTGAAGACTTGTTGCTCACAACCAACTTGGGATATAAGAGATTATTTCAGTTCAAAATAGGTTTTGATCTCAAAATAATATGTATATTGGCAGGAGGTAAAATAAATAATTAATATCACCTCAGTTAGGGTAAAATTGTGAAAAAATTAATCCTTTTTTCCTTTTTATCTGCTTGAGTTTTTTAAACCATGTTTAATGGAGCTTCATATGAAAAACTTAAACCTGAACAAATTAGCACCCAGAGCATGACAGGGAGGACTGTGAAAACTAGGGCGAATGGCGCCATCTGCTGATCAATTCTCCCAACATTTGGAAGGTATTAGAGAATTAAAGAAACATGCATATCGTTAGTTACCTTTTCTACTTGTTGTTGTATAGATTTTTCTCAGACTCTGACAGGGTCATCTCCAGCCTTGTTTTGGTGCATTTAAACTCCTCTACGAGACCTGAGACAGGCAGCCCGAGGATGCCATGTCCATACATTTTGGGACTCTTACCACTTTCTCACATAGGAGTTGATGAATCTCTCCATGTTCTCATGAACATTGACTACTGTAAGTGGCCACATCAGTCGGGGAAACAGGCCAAACTGTAAGCATCAAATTGAGGATGGGCTCTGGTACTTTGAAGAAGTCAAAAGCAGCCCAAAGGACACTATGTGGTGCTGACCCAAATGCATTAGCGAGATCAATGAAGATTATATGTAGATCTCTTTTCTCACTCTTGGCTGATTGGATTTGGTGCTGGATCTTGCTAGTGTGTTCTAAACATCAAGAGAACCCTGGAATTCCAGCTTTTTCAACTGCTGTATCCACCAGATCGCTTTTATATAGATGGTCAGCCTTTGGGCTATGATGCTAAAAAAGATCTTGCCATCTACATCAAGGAGACTGATAGGCCAAAATTGGCTGATGTTTGAGGATTCCACCTCTTTTGGTAACAGTCCTTCTCCAGATCTGCGCCGTGTTACATGCAGTGTTCTGTTTCTCTCTCTCTCTCTCTCTCTCTTTCTCATCTCCTCCAGGTGTGTTTTCTTCCAGCACCTCCACTGGCACAGCTAAAGCCACTCTGAAATGAGAGAGTGAGGCATATAAAACCCCTTACCAGAGCTTCAGATGGGGCTGGTGGGCCAAGTGGCTGAGTGAATCAAGCTGAGAGTGGCTGGAGTAGTGGTATTTATTCGTTGTTGGTGTTTCTGGTGTATGGCCGAACTAGTTGCATAAGCCGTTAGTGCTTTTTGATTTACCAGTTTCATCTCTTTTCTTTGGGAGATTGTTTTCAGTTAGGTGGTCGGGGGTAGCTCAGTTTTTCCTTTAAGGCATCTGGCTGGTCAATTGTTTTTCCCCGGTTTATTCATAATTGTTTGTCCCTCATCCCCTAGACGTCTTAGGGACAGCCAGGTTTTGGGTATTGTTTGCTTCACCAATGCCACCCATGACCTGACTATTACCTTTGACAACTCTGTGGCTGGTCTACCCACTAGTGCTATCCAACATCTACAGCTCGACCAGAATGCTGCAGCTCGACTGACTTCACTCACACTACTAGCCCTCCGTTCCCTTCATGTGTTGCCAGTGGCTGACCGCATCCGTTTCAAAACACTTGTACTGGCTTACCATGCTGCAACAGATTTGAAGTATCGGAGTAGTGTGAGTATTATGGTACCCTTTGTCAGTCAATCATCTCTATGAAGCCAGTGTGCAAGTACTATTTAATGTTTAATTTTTAAACCCATACATAGTACAAGTCAAGGGTGTAGTAAACCAACAAGTGGGTTGATGTACACAATGACTGAAACCAAATTAGTTCAATATTTAACTAAATACACAATGAAAACCTTGAAGATGGATGCATCCTTGCTAAAACTCACACAGATTGGGTTCCCAGACTTATCTTGATAAAAACCTTCCAGTCTATGCATAACAACAGTTCAAAGGAAAACAAATCCCCTTCCAGTCTCTTTTTCCTCAAATCCACTGTTTTCTCTTCTAGGCAACATAGAGTAAGATTTTACAATCGTCTGGCATCCTCGCCAAGTATTCTCTTTCTATGAGTCCTTCTATACGCTTCTTGATAACCACAAGCTTGGGGATAAAATGAGCCTGGAGCTGTTGAGTCACCTGAAAACACAAAGTTGCAACATGTAAGAAAAAGGCAGCGTTTAAACAGGAGACGATAGAAAATCAAAGCAAAACCGACCCAACTTCATATGATCACTTACCTCCGCCACCAGGAGATTGTGGTGCATCTTGGTCCTGGACTTCATGATTCGGACAATGGCTGCCTCTATCTCATGCTCCCTGTCACTGTTCACTTTCCTCTGTGTCTCTTTCCTTTCAGGGTCTGATTCTCCTTGTTTAGCAGCAACTGAGAAAGTACAAAACAGAGATGAGATAAGGGTTGAGGAAGAAAGGGGACAAACTTTTAATGTGCTGTTTTATATTAGCATTGTTATAACTTCTTACTCTCACGTTAGTTTCTGTAACATTTATCAGAGGAACAGAGGATTTTACTTATCTCTGTGACTGAATCACTGAAATGTTATACTGAAGTATTACGAGTAGTATTACTCATGCTATGAACTAAATCTGTATTTAATACTGTACAAAAGCTATTGAAACTAAAATGCTTATATAATTACCACATACTCATATTTTTGTAAATGGCAGAATGACCACATTTTACAACAAAGTACAGTAGTAATGAACCATTCTCGTACAGAAGGAAATCCACAGTATCAGGTTTAAGATGTTCAGGAATGAAACCTTCGAACCAGAAACAACTTGTGCCACAGACAGTTGTGGGCAGTAGCTGAGACTGAAGCAGTCTTTAGTATGTGTTGTATCAATCTTTTACCCACCTGTCTGTATTTTGACTCTGTGCAGTTTGGAAGTAAACTGATCATTGACTGTAAACATGTGGCCGTTTTCAATCTCCTTGGACTTTGGCTCCTTGGTGAGAACTCTCTGTGTGGGTTTCCCACAGGCCAGAGACTGCAATGCCCGCACTAACTCCCGCTCTGGAATATCAGTCTCCTGCTGGATCTCCTATAGACAAGGACAGAAGCACGGAAAAGGTTTTAAATAAGGATTGTTTAAAACTCTGTCCTCCTGTGGAACAACAGAGGTGATAATAGCCAGATGAAGGCGCTTAACTGTGCCACCCCCACCTCGAAAGTGCACTTTTCTCTGTTGTTGAAGAGCATGAGGATGGTCATCTGGAAGGTGGAAACCTGCAGTATGTGCTTGCGGGTGTTTGAGCCTGTCACCTGGGCACCTCCTACTCCAACCTCTGAACCATCCTCCTGCAATTGAAGAGGAAAGGAAGGTGAGTTTGGATTATRATAATAATGATACCAAACATTAGCATTATTGCAGTATTTTTACTTTTGCTTCTACCTTTTTAACAGCTCCGTAGAAAGTTGCATTTAGGTCTGCCCCGCCCATGTGGTGCTGCAGTGTAAGCTGCCTGCCACTGTGCTTAGCGAGGTAAAATCTGGAAAAAACAAATACAGGATCAAATAATATCGAGCATGTGTATAGTATTAATCACTTAAAGAGTACTAAAGGGAGTATTACCTTCTAAAGACTTCAAATGCGTGTCTAGGAGCAGGCGGGATGGTGCATTTTGGGGTTGCAGACTGTGTTGGCCAGTAGATAGTAGTGAGGACTCTAACTATAAGGTCCACACCACTTAAGGATGCCTGAGAGAGAAACAAGAAGGTTACACACCAAACAATTGCTTTTCTGACTCAATTACTTTGTTTCAGATCTTCCTTCAGAAACAGATGATGAAATGTGCAATGTCATGTTAAAGTTTTATTTTAACATTTGCCATGTTTAGAAAGCCTGACTGCCTTACCGACGTGGTTTGTATGTGTTGCCTGAACTCATCCATGGTGGTGTTGGAGATGCTCAAGTCTTTGAACATTCCTTCCAGTCTTGAGGTGAACTGACAGCCACATTCTGTCTGCAAGAGACAAAGACAGAGAGAAATCACTTGAGACTGCTGACAGGTATTTTGACAGACATTATAATGAGGAACAATAAAAGTGATGTGCATATGAAGTGCATCCAAAAGCACGTTGGATTTACCTTGAGCTTAGAGATCATGTTCTTCTCTGAGTCGTCTAAGACACTCCTGTTGCTGAGCAGCCTGCGAGCCAGGTGCTGCTTATAGTACTTTTCAAACACATCTTTCTCCTGCATGAACCTGAACAACACCATGGCCTTGTCAAGGATGGACTCCAACTCCTGTTCTGTTAACTGGTCAAATAATCAGGAGGGGGTAAAGTGAGCAACGTACCAGCACACCAATACAAATAAAAGAAATCACTCTAAGTCACATACCCTTTTCTCTCCTTTCTTGAGCTTATCGTCGATAAAGAGTGATAAACACTCTGGAGAGCGAGAATTGAGATTTAGGAAATACTCAAAGTCGCCAGCTATGGTTTGTTTGAAAAGTCTGTCATTGTTGAAGGACTCGAGGAGGAAACGGTCAAATCGTGTCTTCAGGTCTAGCAGGCCCTGGTGAGGAGAAAATTACAGAGAGCTGATATGATCTTTGTCATTCAACAAAACAAATAAATCTTTTGGACTTATTGCTGAATCATCATACCTGTATATAATCAACAGGGTTCTTGCCCTCTCCCTCTTCTGACACCAGAGCTTTGCCTTGCTCCCTCAAGTAAGGGCTCATACACTCGCACATCGTCTTCAGGCCGTTTGGCACGCGAGTGAACAGCTTGTACATGCATGCCAGGTCTGACAGGGATACAGTGGGAAGAGTAATGAGAAACAAAATCAAAATGCAGGAGAAAGGGAAATCAAACAACCAAACAAAGCTTTACCATCGGTCTTTCCATTCTTGAGCATATGGACGAGGCCAGAGTTCTCCATCTCTACAATTGTCTTCATGTGTTTAGAAATTAGCTCCCGTTCCACCACCTTGACAATGGGCTCTTCTGTAGACTTGTCCAAGCAGTGCATAACTCGCTCTATTTCTTCATTGATTCTGGCCTCTACCTTCTTTATGTAGACACTGGCACTGTTTTCAGCAAGGA